TGCCGGGAGATGGAGTCTCCTGCGGCTTTGGAGAGAAGGAGCCACAGGGGCTGCTGGGAAACGGAGTCGATTCCTCTCCCCTTCCCCCGCTCAAGGAGATGGAGCGCCGCTGGGGCGGGGTGGCGAGGCGGAGTCGGCTGCTGCTTGGCAGAGAGGGCGACGCGGTGGATGCTGGGGGTGGAGTCTCGCTGCGGCCCTGGAGAGAGGGTGCCGCGGGAAGTGCTGGGAGGTGGAGTCCGCTGCTGCTTTGGAAAAAGGGAGCCCCGGGGGTTGCTAGGAAACTGAGTCGCTCCGCTTCCGGTCCCTCAGGAGCTAGAGCGCCGCGGGGCATGCCGAGAAATGGGGTCTCCCCACCTCTATGATACTCCCCAGAGAGGTCCTGCGGGGCTGCTAGGATTTGCAGTCCCGTTCCTGCAAGCCACGGGTCAGCTGGGAAACACTGCCACCCTCTCCTCCCCGGGGAGCTCGTCTGAAAACACGTAAAGCCCTAGTATCAAAGCTTCTGAAAAGGAGGTTGCTCCAGCTGGCTTTAAAGGGGTGTTTAGACCCTTGTCAGGTATTTGGAGTGTTATTGCAGCTGGATAGAAAGCATTCTAGAATCTAAAACAGGGCTGTCCAACCCACTGCACATGTCACAAATGGCGTGGGCAGATGTGGGGGCAGGCAGCACAACAGAAAATAGGGCAGGGAACATAGGTGTTGAGTATGTGAGGGCCCGAGGGCCCTTGCCCCCTTCGGGAAGAGCGCTGTCACTTGAAGTAAGTAAAACTTTCCACGTCTATCATCTTAGCCCCCCTCCCCCTGAGGCAAAAATAAAAGATGGCACCTATGGCAGTGAGCAGAAAGCAAAGGAACTGATCAGGCAAGGAGCACAGGGCAGGGAGCTAAGCAACACATCAAGCAGGGGAAGAGGTGGCACTTGAAGAAGGTGCAGGGCTTAATTTGTGACACGTTTGCCAAACCATTGGCCTCCCACTGGTCTAAAGCTTGTAACTGGTTTAATGACGCTAGTGCAGCTCAGGACTTTGTGAGTACACACACCAGTGCCTGTAGTCTTTCACAAGTCACCAAAGACACTGGCTCCAAGCAAGTTACCATATTTTCTCGCATGCTATGTGCCCCCAAATATAATACACACCTTGGTTTTGAAAGGCAAAATGAAGGGGGAGGGAAAGATTTTTTCCAGAGTTACGGCTGCAGAGAACATAGATTCATAGATTCATAGATGTTAGGGTCGGAAGGGACCTCAATAGATCATCAAGTCCGACCCCCTGCTTAAGCAGGAAAG